TTATTTGAAAAATATTTTCTGGGAATGTATCAGTGTTTATTTTTGAGACTGACAATTCGGGTGAAAATCAGGATAAAAACAAAAAAACAACAATTTGGTTGAAATCAAATTATTTGTTTTCATCTATTTAGAATTCTTTCCAAAAAATCTTGGTTCAGGAAAAGGCTTTGTAATTTATTTTATTCAGTGTATTTGCTGTTCTATTTAAAGCACCATCTGTCCTGCAGGTAGCTAACTATATGGGAGCCTTAAGTCAGCTGGGCAAAGCCCTTGGACTCTAGGAAGTACCAACTAGGTGGCCACATCCAGGTTCCACTTGGGACGCCTACACTGCCCGGGTCTTGCATGTGTCCTTTCTCAGCCAGACCCAAACCTGGCTCACCCTCACCCAGGCTGCCCAATCTCCAGAGTCCTTCCTCCTCTTGCTTCCGGTCACAAATAGACCTCTCCTCCCCTTCTCAGAATCTGTCTGCTTCTCCTGCTTGTGTTTCAGCTCTATCCGATGAGTCCTTTGGTGCAATGAGAGGATGTCAATGATCTTGAATATAATCACATATGGCTGCTGGATCCATGCACAAGTTTAAGTCAAATTAGAAAGTAAATTCACTGCCAAGAATGCTTTAAAAGTCATAGGGCCAACTGATGAACCACTGACAAGTCAGTTTCCTACTCTGTTTTCTAAACTGTAAGTGATTCATAGTAAGGGACTAAAAGGGAATCCCCTCCCCAGATTGAACACTGAGCACCAAACCAAACAGCCTGTCCAGGGCAACAGCTACCCGAATACACCAGTCAGCTGAAAGAGTCATTACCAAATAAATACATAAACACATAAACTCATCTCCATGTTTAAGATAATCCTCTCAGTGGACAGATAATTTCTGTTCATCTTCCTCTCACAGATGCCATTCTCCCCCAGACAGACTTACATTCTCACCAGCTGGCTTCCCCCTTCCTGGACAGATGTTAAAACCCCTAGGCTCTGGGCTACAGACCCCCGTCCCAGCTCCAAGCTGTCAGGTCATGTCCAACGCCCCCTGGGGCCCCACGTCCCTTACCCCAGATGTCATCCCCTGCCACCACTCCAGAGGTTTCAGCCTCCCCCAGCCAGGGCCTGCCTCCCAAGACAGGAAGTGTTAGCGTCCAGCCTAGCCCTCCATCACAAGACAGGCAGAGTATCTGCCCAGAGACGAGACTGTGCTGTAACTGAGAAAAAAGAGGAATCACCGTTGGGTGAAGTTAGGTTAGTGCTTTAATGTGTCTTTCTACACGAATATAGCCATTTTGTGTTTTTTTTTTTTTTTTTTTTTTTTGATACTGGGGATTGAGCTCAGGAGTGCTCTGCCACTTAGTTATATCCTTAGCCCTTTTTATCTTTTCATGTTGAGACAGGGTCTCATTAAGTTGCCCAGGCTGGCCCTGAAACTTCTAATCCTCCTGCCTCAGCCTCTCGTTGCTGAGATTACAGGTGCATGCCACCACACCTGGCCATTTCATGATCTTTTAAAAGCCATTTTCTAGAAGTTCTTTTCCTCATTGTGAGGCAGAAGATTAATAAAGCCATTGGTCTTAGTCCTGAACTAAGAACAGAAAGTTAAAAACCAGCCTAGGCTGGGAGGTCCGAGCCCTGGGCTCTGCGCAGTGCACGCTGCCTCACTGCACACTGTACCATGGGATAATATGGCCAAAGTGTCATTGTGACAGTTACAGCTACGACTAGCTCCTTCCACCAGACATATGGGGTTTTTGTTGTTGTTGGTGGTGGTGGTGGTGGGGTGTGTGTGTGTGTGTGTACATGTGGTGCTGGGGATTGAACCCAGGGCCTTGTGCATGCAAAGCAAGCACTCTACCAACTGAGCTATAGCCCCAGCCCCAGACATGTCATTTTGCATGTTTCAGAATTTAAGCAGAAGCCATTCAGAATAATCAAGCCTTCTAAACAAGCTAGACATTTCCTGTCGGAGGCCACAGGCCAAGCCTGAGCCCCACCATCGATCCTCTGCTCAGGGCAGCAGGCTCAGGACGTAAGAGCTAATGGGGGACATGATTCAGCTTCAGAGCAGCTGCCCAGGCCAGAAAATATCCATTCTCTTTTGGGTATTAACTGAAGAGAGATTTTTAGAGTTTGACACACAAAATTAAGCTATTATGCTTAATTCATCCAGTGTTGAGAAAATGGAAGCCTTTAGCTAAACCATCCCCAAACCGGAGATGAAGGCAGCTGTGGACATCAGATGCCCAAGTATTGGGTCTAGAGGACTCTCTCCAGGAAAACAGTGTGCTGATTGCTCCAGACCCCAAGAAGGCACCTTCCTCTGAAATATCTGTACAGGGTCAAAGAGCAGCCCTATTATCTCAAAGGGCTCATTTGGAACTTAACTCAAAATTCAAGTTTTTTTTATGGTAAAAACAAAACACAGTGTCCAGGGCACTGACAGCCCCCGTGTAGAGGCCACTGCAACACCTGGATGTAAAGAGCAGGTTCCAAGTTTAGAAACTCGGCAGAAAGCTTGCAAAACTGGACCTAGCCCTCCTCTTTGATCACTACTAGGTATCTGCTACTGAAAATCAACATTTCTGCTATCAAATTTCTTTTGTCACATTCATCTTAAAATAACTCCACGTGTAATACTTTCACCTGCAAGGCCCTTTTGGAGATGAGCCAAATGAGGCAGCATCAGATAGTACTGGACAGGCAAACCACTGCTGCTTCTCCAAGCAAGGGAAGAAAGACCTGCTAGTTTTTCTGGGGATATTTTGCAGTTTGGGTTTTTTGTTTGTTTGTTGTCGTTGTTTTGTTTTTTAATGCATTTTGTGCAATTTTTGCAATTCATTTACTATTTACCAGCTTTTAAAAGCATGCTAAGATGTAAGTGTGCTATAAAGTAGGCAATGGGGAGTTAAAAGGTGAAGCTCATATTGTAATGATGAGCTGAAGAGGAAAGTACTGGTACTTTGAGCCTCCATAGAAGACTCCCCACAATCTGAGTTCTGAAATAGTTCTTGATTCACTCACACCATAAGTCATGGTCCTTCCATCATGTATGACAGGAGCCTAGAAATCCAGTAGCCCCAGTGTCCTTGATGCCAGGCACAAAGCTGGCATTGCCAGGTCCTCCCTCAGGACCTGTCCACCAAGTTGGGTTCTGGCCTGGATGAAGGATGAGGGACTTGGCACTAGCACAAATGAGAAACAGAGCAGAGAAGAGTGAAGTTGGTCCTGTCAGTACTGGCTCCACAGGGTTTCTGCCTTCCTTGTGCTTATGTCCCCTTAGTCATCTCCCAGGACCTTCTCAAGATGCAGGGAGATGAGACAGAAAAATCCTGCTAGTTGGGGTAATGCATATCTGTAAACTCAGCTACTAGGGAGGCTGAGGCAGAAGTATAGCAAGCTTGAGGCCAGTCTGGGAAACTTAGACCCTATCTATCTCAAAGAAAAAAGAAAGGAAAACCCTGACATTCCTTCAGCCTACTAAGTACCTAAGGTCCCACTGAGCACCCTACAGTGACACTCACTTAATACTCCAGTATCTTTTTCCTAATTCCCACAGTGCAGATGGGGAAAGTAAGGCCCATGAGACAAGTAACTCGGCCAGGCCCTTAAACAGTGCCACAATCTAGAATCATCTGTCTGTTCTAGCTCCAAACATCCTGGAGATTCTCAGACTTTAGTGGCCCTCAGAATTACTCCAACAGCTTTAATGCAGGTTCCTAGGTCCCAATCCTAGACATGCTACCCAGGTATGTGTCAGCTGCAGCCCTAGAATGAATGTGGGTTTCTTTCATTTGTTGCACGCATCCCAGACAATTGTGGTGGTGTAGCGTGTGGCTCAGACGTCAATTCTTCCTTCCCTGTGAGTGACCTCAGCAGCCCAGAGGACTGTAGAGGTGAGTTTATACCTGCAGCCTTAGCGTGGTGACTGGCTTACTTACTCTTTGTGCATAAATAAACACTGTGTGGGGGGATTTGAGTGGGAAATCTGTATTTACAGTTTCCTTATAACCCTTCAGCACACAGACATTTTGAAAGGTGAATGAGAGACAATTCCTCATCATTTTTCATTTCCAGATGCTTTCTTCCATTAATCATTCTAACCACTTGCTTCACAAAGTCCCCTGGGCATTTATGGAGCACCTGGGTACAATCCTAATTAAAGGCAGAGGCCACTGACAGCCCATAGACCAACTCCTGTCCTAAAAATTGCTTGATGGGGCAAAAAGCAGAACCTCTCTGGCAGGAAAAGAAGCAATTTAGATGAAAAGAGGTTTCATTCCCTACTCCAAATTCACCTGAATTCTTTTGCCTCCATTATCTAACCTGATAGGGAAAGCCTAGGTGTGGAGTCAGAACTTAGGTTCCATTTGCTGTATCCCTACTTGCTAGCTGTATACATTTGCTTGAGTCTCATTTCCCATATCTAAAAAATGGAGACCAATAATGTCAATCTTCCTGGTTTGTTGAAGGGTAAAGAGAGAGTGCATATTCAATGTGTAAGACTACCAGGTGCTTTTCAGGCACTCAAAATCCTCGCCCAATTATCCTCAGGCTAATTTAGGACAACATACCTTCTGCATTGGGAACATGTCTTTTCTCAACCAGTTCAAGCTTTTTAATCCTTTAGGGGCAGATCAAGGCCACCCTCGTCCAAGAGGCCTGCTCTACCAATGCAGTCTTCCTTTCTCCCTCCTCTGGCACCCTGGTAGTACTCCCTGTTTTGTAGGACTCAGCACTCAGTGTGGCTGGGAGATTCATGGACCTGGATCTGCTTGGGGACAGGCCTCAGCTTACACTCCTCTCCGCCCTGCTGTGCTCAGCACAATCTTCAGGAGCTCCCTCTTAGCTTATGAGCTGACCAAGGTGACTAGTGGGAATTTAAGCCTATTAAGGTACATCCCTGGAAAAAGAAACAAGTAAGAGACCCATGTGCATGTTCTCCCTATCATACCCCTGTATGTTCTGTGGTGGGCAGGCTGCCCTAGGGCTGGGGTCTGCCGAGTACCTGGGATCTCAGCCGGTCCACCTCTTCTGACAAGCTCTGTCTCTCCAGGAGAAGCTGGTTCTGCTTGTTGAGCAGCTGCACCAGCTGCTGGGCTGTGGCCTGGCTATGCTTATCCAGCTGCTGGAGCCTGGAAAAAAAGCCACCACAGAATTAGAAATGGGTTCTGAAAAGAGGGTGCTTGGGAGATCAGAAGGGACAATGGTACACTTTAGGGCTCTCTTACTCTGTGTTTTAGTCAGCTTTCTGTTGCTGTAACAAAATACTTGAAATAATCAACTTAGAAGAAGAAAATGTTTTAATTTGCTCACTTTCAGAGGTTTCAGTTTATGATTGTAGCACAATATGGTGGAAATGTGTGGCAGAAAAAGCCCTCATCATGGAGGCCAGAAATTAAAAGAAAGAGAAAAGAAGCTAGGGTCCCAATATTCCCTTTATGGGCACACTCCCAATTTCCTAACTTATTCCAACTAGACCCCACTTCTTAAGAGAGCTATGGGCTAGGGACCATGCCTTCAACACATGGGGCTCTGGAGGACATTGAAGCAATAATAGTGTGTATCTCAGGGAAGCTCCTGATAGTGAACTATGAACTAGAAGTCAAGAGTGACCCTGAGTTGAGGCTCTGGCTAGCAGCACATATGCAAGGGAACTGGGAACCTTGTCAATATGTTGTCAGTTAGAATCAGATACAAGATGGGTAAGTAAAAGAAAAACTAAAAGCCTTAAACTCACAAGCAAAGGCCAAAGATGAGGAGCCCAAATGCTCCATTGTTCAGCTGGAACCCTCTCTGGCAAGCTAAGCAGACTGCTGGCCCTCGCTGGGGAAGAGGGTGAGGAATGATGGAAACACTGAACTAAGGGTTTTCCATTATTAATCACTCAGTCAATCACAAGTTCCAGCATTGCTGACCAGATGTCTTTAAAAATCCTAAATTTGTCATTCTGCTGATGGGCTCTCCTCTCCCAACTTGCTAATTCATTTAAACCATTATCCTCATCTGTCCACAGACAGCTTCCTACAGCCATGACAATGTTGGCTTCGGGTTAAATTTAGAGTTGAACAACTACCCAGAACTGTTCTGGAAAGCAGCGTTCCATTCCACAGCTCCCACTAATCAAAAGCACCCACAGGGAAATTAAATTGTATTTTCACAAGCAAAGAATAGCTCGTGGTACATTTCCAACTCCAGGTTACCAAGTCAAAGACCTGTTCTACAAAGACTAGCCTGGGGCAGCCCTCAGTTCAAGATCTCCTGGGTCAGTGTTCCTGGTAGGCTCTGAGTACAACTAAACATTTACAAAGCCAAAGATTCGGGCCTTTGGGTTGGGGTGAGTTCGCATCTGGCGATGGCGGGTAAAATGCATTCTGGGAAAGGTGGCAAAGGTCTACAGCTTTACTCACACTCTCCCAGGACTCTTCTGCAAAGCACAGTACAACCCTCTCCACGTCCCCTGCCAACTCCCAGGAGCTATTCTTAGTCTCAAATGGACTCATCAAGTCTTTGGAAAGGGTCCGCCCTGCCCCCACTCCCCAACTTCGAACACTCAGCGGGGTCCTGGTTTTCAATTACACCACCTTCCGGAAACTACTCACCTGGCATGTCCTACAGGTGCAGGAGTGAGGGATGGGGCGGTGACCACACTGCGCATCCTCACAGGCCCTCCTAGCGGCGCAGCGGGAGGCAGTCCCACAGCTCTGCGGCTCCTGCGCTCGCTGAGTCTGGGGGACTGTGGCCTCTCCTTAGCTCTACGTTCCAGGTGCCCCGTCAGCCCTGGGCAAAGACCTTCTGTTCAAGGATGAGCCTGCAACTGCGCCCTATCCTCCCTCTTATCTAGGAGAAGGAAAACTTAAGTTTCTGGCTGATGAAGCCATGGCATCTCCGCTAGGGGTAGCTCATCCGACCCCACCCCATCACGCAGTTATGGGGGCTGGGGTAGATCTCTTGTGAGAGGGTCTCAAAGCCACCCCACTGGGGCAGAGCAGACAGAAGCTTTCCTGCACTGCCGGGGGTCCTGGCAGGGAGAAACTGCGCAGGCCACCTTTTACTAGAGCCCCAGCTTGCCGAGGAGCCCTGGATTGGCTCTGATTGCTGTAGCAGAGAGGTTAACTGCCTTTTTTCTTGAGAAGCAGACAATGTACTACTTTCACATTAAAATCAGGCGAAAAACAGCGTTAGCAGTTGAGCTCCCTAACCTGTAAGGTGGCTTTCCCCCTCCAATCACATCCTGGATGTGGAGAGAGCCCCAGGCTAGAGCTACTGAGGCAGAAGTCCTTTGGCTTCCTGCTTGCTTGAAAAGGATTGGAACAGAAGCTTGCGATAAACAAATGACACCATTATGGTTCAACTGCAAGAAAGCGCCAGAGTGGCTATTCTCCATGTGGTTTCTTGCCCTGTGCTTGGATCAAATGGGAAAATGGTCCCGCGGACCGATGGGTTCAGTATGTGGTTTTGGGCTCCTGAAAAGGGACGGCTGCCCCATCCAGTGCTATGAGCCAAGCCAAAGTCAGCTCTCGCGGCACAAAAAGCTGGCCATGGACAAGCCACACTGGCTCTGCCACCAGAGAAGGGGCCAGTTCCTACCTAGACCTTTCTCCTAGGGAGCCCTCAGAACGTAGACAAGGCTCACTCGGGCTTATTTTGCAAACTTCGGGCAATGGGACAGCTCATCAGTTACAGGGTGGGGGGTTGAGGAACCCCACCCAGACCACCTGAATCTCGTGGCTAGGTGTGAGCCTCAGTACAGCAGAAAACCAGCTGCTGTGAGAGGTCAGATTCTGAGAAACCACCCCTCCTCTAGGAGGTGCATCCTCACTAATACTGAAGAGCTAAGGGCAGAAGCAAAATCTGTTTGTTTGCTCCCCACCCCCCACCCACCCACTTTATTGATATGGTGTTTCATTATGTTGCCCAAGCTCTCCTGGAACTCCTGGCTCAAGTGATCCACCTGCCTCAGTCTAGGGAGTAGTTGAGACTGTGGCCCAGGCCAACCACCCAGCTTGACTTATTTTTAAAACCAACTTGAACAACTCCAAAAAGTTCATCACAGGAGTGTCCCCCACTCTTTATTTATGTGCCTTCCTTTTGGGGGCAGGTTCTACCCCCTCATTCCACATACAGTAGTGAAGTCAGTCACAAACTCAGAAAACGTAAAAACAACACTGAACCCACATTTGTTAATTTTTTTTTTTTTAAATAAAAGGGAGTTTGTTAAGGAAACACTTCTGTAACAGTTCTTTGAAGGCCTGCTAAAAACACTGGGGAAATTTTAAAAAAATTATTTTTGGAAAAACTCCAAATACTGCCCAACTCAGCCTATGTTCTGGTAATGGATCTTTCACTACCATCAGAAGAGATTTCTGAAGACTATATTGTAGATAAATAAACTGTCCTTTATTTTCCACAGTGGTTATTATTCTCAGTTTTTATGCCATAAGTCCATAGTGTCAGCCAGTCATAGCTACAACTCTCACTCTTGGCACAATCAACATTTACTGAGCTTTTGAGCTTACTGCTCCACCTTGATTATTCAATTCCAAGTTTATTACAGTCATCTGAGTTACATGTTAGCATGACCATCCCCATTTTATGGATGAGGAAACTGAAGATGACAGGTTAACTTGCACAGAGTCACACAGAGTTATGGTAGAGAGCCTGGAGACAAATCTAGGCAGTGCCCAGTTGGTTAACTCACTGAGGTTATACACTACACCAACCAGCCTTTAGTAAACACCCCTTGTGGGTTAAGTACTATGTTGGCCAAGAAATACCTGAGAAAAACAACTTAAAAAAAAGGAAAGTTTTATTTTGGCTCATAGTTTCAGAGGCTTCAATCCATGATTGCCTAGTCCTGTTGCCTTTGGGCTTATAGCAAAGCAGGCAATCATGGTGGGAGAGCATGGCAGAGGAGATTGCTCATCTCATGGCAGCTGAGATGCAAAGAAAGAGACACAGGAAGGGACTGAGGGTCCCAATATCCCCTTCAAGGGCACACTCCCAATTATCTAACTTTCTGAAACTAGGCCCCACCTCTTAAAGGATTTATCATATTCCAAAGGTGCTATAGGCTGAAGACCAAGTTGGGAGACATTTGGGATCCAACCATAACAAATACCAATGTAGACACTGGGAGTACACAAAGAATTACAAATGGTTCTTGCCCTCAAGGGATTCTCAGACATTTGAGGAGAAAATGACAGGTGATGAAATAAGTGTTGACTTCAAACAGAACAATGTGAAGGCATAAGGAGGAATGATTGATACAGCAAAGGCGAGGAACAGGAAGGCTTCTGCTTGCTTAGGAGAGAACTCTTCATTCTACATTGAGCACTCACAATATATAGGGTGATGTGTTAAGCTCTTACAATTTTTTTAAATCTTTAATATTGACAAGAATTCTAATGAGGGAGGAGCTAATTATTATCCCCACTTTAAGGATAAGGAAACTAAGGTACAGAAAGGATACATGACTAGTTTAATATTACTAGGCTGGCAAGTGGGATGTGAGAAAATAGTAGATATTGTTCTTCCAGGAGCCAGGCACAGGGCCTTCCCACATGGGGGAGGCACTGTAAAGGGTATGGAGTGTCTGAAAACTTCAAACTGTTCTGGCTGCTCCAGACATTGTGAGCTGTTCAGAGGAAGGTAATACTGGGCTTAGTGGAGGTTGGTAGCAATATGAACTCTGTCCTGCAGGCAGTGGTAGTGCCATTTACAAAAAAAGGGTGAAAGGAGGGATAAGCCTGGGGTAGAAGAGAAAATCTGGGGTCAGAACAAGTCTGAGATACTTGTGGGACATAGTTATGAAGCATAAGGCCCAGGAATGGCCCAGCTAAAGCTCTAGCTATGCAAACCAAACCTCTTGGGAGGTGAGGCCACGAATATGGGGCAAGATTTGCCTGGGAAAGACTGGTAGAGATTTTCAACTGGAGCAGTTTGTTAAAAATGCAAGTATCAGGGCTGGGGATGTGGCTCAAGCGGTAGAGTGCTCTCCTGGCATGCGTGGGGCGCTGGGTTCGATCCTCAACACCACATAAAAATAAAAAATAAATATATTGTGTCCACCTAAAACTAAAAAAATTTTAAAAAATGCAAGTATCAAAGATCCCATGATCTGATGGCCAAGAAC